TTGCATCCCGATTTAAATTTTTCATCGGTTAACATGTTGAAAAAATCCAGTTAAGGTTTAATGGGCCATTTTAGTTCTTAAGGGACCAAATTGACTCGAAATTAGCAAAAAAAAAAACGTAAGTGTTATGTTTTGCTTAAAAAAAAAGTATCGATTTGTGGGCAACTAATTTTTTTTTCTGTAAAAACGAGGCACTTACGTTATGTTTTTGGTAATTCCGACCTCAATTCAGAACTTAAGGACTAAATGACCCATAAAATCTTAACCAAATATTTTTCGATACGTAAATCGATGAAAAAGTTAAATCGAGCTGCAAGTTACAATTTATAACGACTTTTATGCCGCAATTTGCAATTTTTTAAATGGCTGATATTTGCAAAATATAAACTTTAAATGGCTGCAATTTGCAAATTTTCCTTTCTTAGATAAATTGAATAATTTTAAATTGCTAAATGATATGTCCATTTTATATAGTGTCTTACCCCCGTCCCTTGGTCGTTATTAGTAGTGTTTTTGGCTCTTTCGGACCACTTTTATTACTAATTTGTGTTTTCTAGTGTTTTCGTAGTTTTAGTTGTATTTTACAGGAAATTGCACTCTTGGAGCATTTTCCCGGGCTTTATGGATCAACTACGGAAGCTAGAAGGACACGACCACTTTTGAAGCCCAGGATCGGTGAGAGCCGGTGATTAAGGGCTCGGTAATTGGGATCTCGAGGTTTTGGACCGAGTATTCAAGACCCGAAGAGGAAATCCGGATTGGGCCGAGAAATCAAGCCCAATCGAAGTCCGAGCATCAAGGTGAAGCAAGGGCCCGATCGGGCAACCTCTAGCACGATCGGGCGCGGCGCTCTAGTGCTGTGCGTGGCTTATAGCGCACCCGATCGTGCGAGCCTCTAGCACGATCGGGCAACGCTGATGGGAAGGAACGCGAAGAAAAAGGCGGGCCCGATCGGGCGACCCTTCGCCCGATCGGGCACGCGTTTTTTATAGGACCTGATTAGTTAGCCTTAATTTTTGTTTTAGAAAAACGTTTAAGTATGATTTTTGTACGGATTTTTAGATTACCTTCTTTCTTAGACTTTCTCTCTCTACTTAGAATATTTTCTCTTTCTAAAATTCTCTCTCAACTTTTGTTCTTAATTACTTCCATTAATCCAATTTTCTTTTGGTAACAATTTCTTCCTTTTTAATTTCAGCTATTTTACTTGCTTCTTTGATTATGCTTTTATTTAATTATTTGATTAGTTTAGTTATGATGATGCGTGAGTAGTTTAATTCTAGGGTTTATGGGGATCTATAATTAATATGAAGGGATAATTTGTTATTATTGATTATTGGTATTGCACGATAATTTCTTATTGAATTGTTTTAATTCTTTGCAATTAGATTATGAATCGAGCAGATGTAATTTGATTGTGAATGTTTAGCAATATTGAATTGATGAATCGAGCAGATGTTAATTTAATATTAAAGGCTATTTTTAATAGGAACTTAGATCTAGTAAATTGCGAGAGCCTGTTAGATCTATGTTGATTAATAAATTGCGAGAGCCTGTTAATCATGTTATTTGTGCAATGTTAATTATTAATTATTATGTTTTATCCTGGAATATTAATTATTGGTGAACCTGTGACCCTAGGCTTCCTTATTATTGTTTCTTTTCTCCCTAAACTTATTTTTCGTAGTATAGAATTTATTCCCAAAAATATTGGTTACTTAGATAATTTAGATTACAATAAATAATTAGGAGTAAAAAGACTTGTTTCCTTGTGGAGTTTGACCCTACTTCCCTATCTACATTAGTTAGAGGATTTAGGTATTACTTTTGATTAGGGGATACGATTTTACCCTGTCACTAAACAAATCCAAATGATTGATAGCTTTCTCCATATTTGAAAACGATTTAGCGCTAATTGCTACTCCATATATAGTTCTAAAAGTTTGAGCTACAAATATTGCAATTATTATAGAAGTGTTAAATATGGAAGAGAAAATATAGAGGGACGAGGGAAGATTTTTACGTTATATTTCATATTCCATCTAGTACGGGATATATATACATGTACATTACCTAGGATTCCATCAACTGATAAGACCAAATACCCAACTCTAGAGTATTCTAGATAGTACATGGGATAATAGTCATCCATATTTAGATATCTTCATAACACTCCCCCTTAGATGACTATATATTGAATAAAACAATAACTAACATTTACTATAAAACCCGTACAAAATAATACACTATAATGCGCATATGATGTTGCCTCGTTAAAAACCTTACCAGGAAAACCCAATAGGAAAAAACCATGGTTAAGAAAAAAAAAAAGTGCAGCGCGCATTAACTCCCCCTTATGACTACATCACTTTTGATCTTTAAGACGATGCAATCCAATGTCGTAAGCTAACGTTTTGAATGTTGTTGTCGGAAGATCCTTAGTAAATAAGTTTGCTAAATTCTCACTTGAACGAATCTGCAATACATTTATGTCTCCATTCTTCTGAAGATCATGAGTGAAGAAAAATTTGGGTAAGATGTGCTTTATTCTGTCGCCTTTGATGTATCCTTCCTTAAGTTGAGCAATATAAGCTGCGTTATCCTCATATAAAGTTGTTGGTGCCTCTTTCCCAGATGATAAACTACAAACTTCTTTTATATGTTGAACTACCGACCTTAACCATACACATTCACGACTAACCTCGTGAATTGCTAAAATCTCAGTTGGAAGAAGTAGCTGCAATGGTTTGTTTCATGGAATGCCAAGAAATGGTAGTACCACCATATGTGAACACATATCCAGTTTGTGACCGACCATTATGAGGATCAGATAAATAACCTGCATCTGCAAAACCAATCAAATTTTCTTTGGGCAACTTTGGGAAAAATAAATCCATATCCTTTGTACCTTGAAGGTAACGAAGTAAATGTTTAATCCCATTCCAATGCCTTCGGGTTGGACATGAACTAAACCTTGCTAATAAATTAACTGAAAATGATATGTCGGGTCGTGTATGGCTTGCAAGGTACATTAGTGCTCCAATTGCACTAAGATATGGTACTTCAAAACCAAGAATTTCTTCATCATTTTCCCGAGGTCGGAATGGATCTTTCTCTACTTCAAGTGATCTTACAACCATAGGGCTGCTCAATGGATGTGTTGTATCCATAGAAAATCTTTTAAGAACCTTTTCTATGTATGTTGATTGATGCACAAGGATTCCATTCTCTAGGTGCTCTATTTGTAACCCCAAGCAGAATTTTATCTTTCCTAGATATTTCATTTCGAACTCTTTCTTAAAATAATTGACAGTCACTAAAATCTCTTCAGGAGTTCCAATGATATTCAAATCATCGACATACACTGCAATTATAACAAATTCCGATCCAAATATCTTTATAAAAATACATGGGCTGGTAGGATCATTCTTATAACCTTCTTTACACAAATACTCACTTAGACGGTTATACCACATATGCCCAATTTGTTTCAATCCATAAAGAGATTTGTTCAATTTAATACAGAAATGTTCTCGAGAACTAGATTTTGCTGCTTCTGGCAGTTTGAATCCTTCTGGGAGCTTCATGTAAATGTCATTATCCAGTGGGCCATATAAATAAGTTGTGACTACATCCATCAAACGTAAGTCAAGTCCTTCTCTTATTGTCAGACTAATCAAAAATCTAAAAGTAGCTGCATCCACCACAAGAGAATATGTCTCCTCATAATCAATACCAGGTCTTTGTGAGAATCCTTGTGTAACTAAGCGTGCCTTATATCTTACAACTTCACCCTTTTCATTTCTCTTTCGCACAAAGACCCATTTACATCCCACTGGCTTTACACCTTCAGGTGTACGGACTACAGGCTCGAATACTTCTGTTTTTCCAAGAGATTTTAATTCTGCTTCAATTGCTTCTTTCCATTTTGGCCAATCATTTCTTTGTCAACATTCTTCAATGGATTTTGGTTCATGATCCTCATTATTATCTATAACATCTAATGCTACATTGCATACAAAAACATTATCGACGTCGATTTGATTTCGGTTCCATGTAATTCCAAACATGATATAATTTGTTGAAATTTCTTTATTATCAGGTACCTGAATTTCTTCTTGTATCATATCTAAAGTATCTTCTGGAGATCCTTCGGAAATTGTTTCTTCAATTTGACCATCATCAATCAATGCTCCTTTTCTTTTCCAAGGATTCTTATCTTTGGAACCTATTGGTCTTCCACGTTTCAGACGTGGTTTAGACTCATTAGCAAATTTATTTTTTCCTTCTGGGACATCTATTTTAAATGGAGCATTTACAGCTGGAATATGTGACTTGGTCACTCTTTTTGGGTCAGCAAACGAGTCTGGCAATTGATTCGCTAAACTTTGTAAATGAATTATCTTTTGAACTTCCAAATCACATTGTTTAGTTCGAGGATCAAGATAGGATAATGATAATTCATTCCATTTAATTTCTTTTTCCAGCTCTCTCTTTTCTCCCCCTATTGTTGGGAAAAGTGACTCGTTAAAATGACAATCTGCAAAACGAGTCGTAAATAAATCCCTTGTTATAGGTTTAAGATATTTAATTATTGACGGGGATTCAAACCCAACATATATCCCCAACTTCCTTTGAGGACCCATCTTAGAGCGTTGTGGTGGAGCTATTAGAACATAAACCGCACATCCAAAAATTCTTAGATGGAAAATATTTGGTTCCTGACCATAAACCAATTGTAATGGGGAGAACTTGTGATAACTTGTTGGCCTAATGCGAATTAGTGCTGCTGCATGTAATATAGCATGTCCCCAAGAAGAAATTGGGAGATTGGATTTCATAAGCAATGGTCTAGCAATTAACTGAATACGTTTTATTAATTAATGACTCCAAAAGAAAGTTGCTAAGTTTAGATACTCAACTTCTTTTGATAAAAAATGTGGGTCCCTTGTCAATATTCTAATATATTTTGTAATTTATTTAAGTTTTAACCTTTTTTTAATCTTATAATATTTGATATTAAAAAAGAAATGGATTTGGTGGGCCATAAATTGAAAGTAATATTTGTATACTTTAAAGAGTCTCATTATTGAAAAATTAGACTTTACATAAGTTGCTAAATTGAGAAGTGGGTATAGTATCACCATTGGAGGTAAAAGACAACTCATTTTGTATTCAATAGCCAAATGAGTTTCACCATTGGAGGTGGTCGTAATCTCAACTTTGGAGTATTTATTTATTAATCCAAACTTTATATCCCGTTCGCCAAAAACACTCCAAACTAATCATCCAACCTAATATTACAGGTTTCAAGACACGTGTCAACATATAATTGGAGTAAAATAAATAAATAAAAGAAAAAAAAAACACCAACACAACCACCTACGCCCAGCGCCCAGCCACCAACGGCCAACCCAACCATCTTCAACCCAAGCGTCACCCGCCGCCCTTCTCCTCTTCCGCGGCGCTGCTTAACCACCCACCCCATTCCCTTTAGCCGTTCACTTGACATATGCGTACCTCATGATCAATCGCAGCGACTGGCTCCCTAATTCTAAATAACGCGACCCCTCTAGATTTATTGCCAAATAATCGTTCAATTGACATGATTTTCAACAGATTACTCAACTTCCTTTTGGTTTAGTATGTAAGTGCTCCTTAATCGATGTTTGCTTCGCGATAAATTCTGTTAAGCAATTCTCTCTCTAGTAATCATAGGGTTTCGTTTAGCTTCCTTCTAGAACACCGTAAGTTAAACTTTTGACTCGCGTCCAACGATTGATTACGGTAAAATATTAAAATATTGTTAATGACAATTATAACCCGAGATAAACAAAATCCGTTTCTCAACGAGATCAACTTGTATTTACTCTTCTTTTTCCTACCTTTGTAAAACCAAATATCAGTTTTCCCTCCTTCCTAATCTAATCAGAATATCGGACCCCAATTCGCCGCCGTTCGTCGGAGCTTCTGTCGGAGGTTGAAAGCGCAAGTTTCTGTCGGAGTTTTCCTTCAGGTATATATTTCAGTTGTTCATTGGTATGTTTTCAAAATTAAGATTTTATTTGCAGAATTAATTGTGATTATATATATATAAAAAATAAAATAAAATTACACACTTGTTTAACTACTTTTTTTTTTATTATTATTATTTAGTAATTTTATGCATTTCTCTTGTTCAAATACCATTTATCTCAATTAATTTCATCTGCATTTGTTTGATCAATATATTTCTGGTGTAATTTTGGAAAGAGGGATTATCTTTGCTTACTTTACCATATTTTTGAATTTAGGTCAATTGATATTCATAAAAGTGATTACGTTTAGTTTATAAATAATTTTACGGCCTGTTTGGTATGCGGTAATAAACGAAAAATATAAATAATATAAATTTCAATGTCCATGGTTATGAAATTTCAATGTAAATTGTGTTAAGTTTCCACTGCTATTGGTTGTACATGAATGTGTTGTTGCATTGGTTGTTTTTATTGTTTCCTTAATCAATATATAAAATTTCGCCGGAATTTTATCATGATTGTCAATATTGCATTGGTAATATAATGAGAGGCATTATGTAAAGTATATAAGGTATAATAATCTGAATGGTGGAATTAGTTTACTAAGTACTTTTCAAGTCTACTTTGAGTTTTAGTACAAAAACGATCGTGTCATGGAAATATAGTCAATATTCAGCATATATCTTTTGTTTATAAGCGAGGTATGTAATCTATTAAGACAGTGAAGAGTGCTTGTATGAGTTACCTTATCCTAGTCTGTGAGATTGTGACTTTATGTTTGTTTGCGAAATATGTTATTGATTTAGTGTGTGTATTAGATATGGTATAGCTAGACTTCTTAGTTTCCAATCTGGATGTCTTTTGGCAAATGGTGTTTCGGTATATTGATCAATACATGATTGATGAAGTCTGTTCTAGATTGCAACTTATAAGTTTGAGGAATGGATGTCTGGATCAGGATTAATCAACCATCTAAAGTATGATTAGCAGTCAAAAGTCGTTGAGAACGATTGGTTGAAATATGGAGGTATAAAATAGTCCAGCCATTGAGAAATTTATGTTTTTTCATTGGAAATTTGAGTGATTCCTTTCTGTACATCTAATATTCAACAGCTACTTAGGATGTACTTGGCTAGTGACCGTAATGTCATTATCCCTCTCAACCAATTGCCATTATAAAATATAATTTTTCATTGTTGCGTGATATAGGCACTTTTCCATCCATCAATTAAAGGTATATGGGTTTAAGCCTGATCATGCACAATCAAAATATTGTACCCCTGAGAAGGCCAACTGAATTCCCTCTTTTTGTTTAGGGTGGACTAGCAGCAAAGTAATTACTGCACTCTATAGCTGTTGAATAGCACAGTTTTGCAAACTTATTTAATGATTTTACATAGTCCACAACAGGATATAAAAAACTATGGTTGAAAAGGTTTGGTGAGTTTTCCAGTAATACCTTTTGGTTCACGCCTTATTCTAGCGGATCTTATGGGGAGGGAGTGGTTCTTGTTAGCCACTTACCGCGTCCATCTGAATAGCATCATGGTTGACTTTAGTACAGGTTCTAAAAGTAGAAATAGAATGTGTTGAGATAATGGATGGAAAGAGGAAAAAACAAGCGCAAGAAGTGCTGTGAAAGAGGGAGAATTGTTGATGTGATGGACAGAGAAAATGACATAATAACTTTCAACTCGTGTCTTAAGCTGGAAGGAAAGGAGGATTTTTCTTTCTGGAGCATCTAAATGTTGTAAGATTTTTGTTTCTTTGAAGGGAATAGTTGTTACCTGTTTTCTACTACCCAGGAGGGAGGAGGAGCTAGATATATGAAATGCTGATATAATTTTTGTGGAAAGCAGGTCATAGATGGAAGAAAGAAAGCTTGAACCCATTCATAAAAGTAGTTTCTCAGGCTCACAATGATGCTTGTATCTCCATCAGCCACCTACAAATGATACATTAATCGAAAGAACTTTTTCTTAGAACTCTCCCAGTACTACTGTGTATTGCAACTTTGCAAGTGCTTTTGACCTTCTCCAAATCAGTCTTAAAATATTAAAGGTATAGGTATTTTTATATTAATAAGCATATTGCATGGCTTACAGTAAATGAAATAAAAGCTGTATTTCTTGTGAACAAGCTTTGATTACCTGATCTGAATCGACTGAATGTTGTGTAAGCATAGGCTGTCTTCTACACAAGATCTTTCCTGGTTGTTTGCCTGTGGAGCCATAGCAAATGTCTGATAAAAAACTAGGAACCACATTTGTATGATCTTCAGCTTACACCTCTATGCTGGAGTCAATCACATCCATGTCAAAGGTTATCTAGTTAGCAGGTTCTTTTTAATGAAAATCATTATCGACTGCCTTCTCTGATTACTGTTCACGGGTCCGTACACTCGTGCAATAGGGTCACTATCTTACAAGTTATCCACTTTATAGTTGAAGTCAATGTTTTAATGCTTTGAGTTACTCTTTCTTAAATTGTCACATGTATAACATAAAAGAATAAAAAAAGCATGGCACACTATAACTGTTATTGTGCACCCGATACACGAATGTGCAGGGCACATATCAGTTCCCGTTTAATTTGTAACTTCTACTGGTCTTGGTATGGTATTACTCATAGTAGTGTTCTTTTTGTGGACTCTTTGGCAGAGCTTTCACAGACACTTAAAGTTTTTGACCATTGGAAATGATATGCTCCTATATCAGTTAAGCTGCATATTTTGGGATGTGTGTTGACCCTTTGAAGGTTTTGAGCATAGATCAATTCATGTGCAGTTATGGCTTTGCTGCAATTATATACTTCAATAGTTAGACATGCAAGTCCAAGATTCTCTTTTCTATATATTTTTTATGTTTGTAGAGGATCATTGTTATATTCTAGGTGATTTTTTGTCATCAGTAGTTTACATTGAGCAGCTCTCCCTTAAGCACAAGGTATTAGCTTACAAAGGTGGTGATGTGAAATTGCAGATGGACAGGGAAGTGTCAGAACGTCAAGTGAAAGAACGTTCGAGGACAAGGTGGACAGCTGCCCTTGATAAAATCTTTGCAGACTTGGTTGTGGAGCAGATTCAATTGGGAAATAGGCCAAATAACGTTTTTGACAAGAAGGTGTGGGGCTACATACGTGATGAATTTAATAAGCGAACGGCTCTAAACTTCAATAACAACCAATTGAGAAAGCACCTAGATGTTCTTCGTGCTCGGTATAACCAGGTTAAGTCTGCTTTAGTTCAAAATGATCTCATCATGGAAGATTCATGCTGTGGTGGATTTGATTTATGGGAAGGCATAGAGGTATATCCTCCCTAGTTGTTTCTGCGTTCTTTCTCATCTTTGATGTTGCTATTTCCATTGTTGTTGAATCGGCAGTAATCTGCTTATGCTACTGGACTTTCAGGTTAATCCTAAACCAGAGCCAGCTAAAATCAGGGACTGCCCCATTTATGAGAAATTGTGCACTATATTCGCTGACAATGGTGCTGATGGGAGATATGCCCAGTCAAGCCATTATGAAGAAGTGGAGCATAAATCTAGTGCTAATAATGCTAATCCTCTAGGCTCAAGCTGTGGTATAAAAATTGAGCCACCAACTCCTGAAGCTCCGTTGTTAATGAAATCCATGGATGTCAATACTACTTCCTTTTTGAAGGGAGGTAAGACTGATTGTGAGAAAAAGAGAAAGCATACATCGGATGTGGATCAAAATGATCAACAACGTAGGAACCATAAGATACTTGATTCTATGGCAGAAGCAATGCTAGGTATGATTGACTCCTTTAAGCTGAGGACAATTACAAAGACGGAAAGTAAGGAGAGGTTTTCTATCACAAATTGCATCAAGGCATTGGATGAAATTGAAAACATGGGAGAGTCGTTATACTTTTCGGCTTTGGATCTCTTTGATGACCCTAACATCAGAGAAACCTTCATATCTCTTAAAGGTGTTGACAGAAGATTGAGTTGGTTACAGGTGAAGTGCAGTACTACTAATTGCTTTGAAGTACAAGGGCAAACCAGAGATCATTATTGGACACATTCGGTGCAGATAAACTGATATTGGAGTGAATTTGTTTGTAAGTATCAAGACAAACTAGGGGTAATTCAATGGAAGTAGATAAAGTGATTACAAACATATGTACTATTTTACTGCATCAGCATCACTAAATGAATGGAGTAATGTAAATAGTGCACCTCATTCTTGCACCATGCTATTGTTTCAATAAGGTTAATTAAGGTTGCGTAGAGAAAGTAGAAATATTATGTCGATAATAATGTGATTAATGTCCATGTTTAGCTCACGAATGCAGCTCATTACTGCTGATGGTGCCGATTAATTATTACCATCACAACCATGCATTCTCTGGGTGAGGGGGGGAAAAAAAGAAAAAAGAAAAAACGAGATTCAAAATCTAAAATATCTGCTGAATTCATCAGCATGCTGCATTTTACAAATAATGTTACTTTACAAGAGAAAAAAAAAAAACTAGCAATGACTATTGCAGCACGCTACAATTGACTAATGTTTAACAAAATTGTTACAATTAAACAAGCTAGTAAAAAACATAAGTATAACAAAATTATGGCTTAGTGCCACTCAATCGTCCGCCAATGGTTTAAGAAGATTCTCAACCCTCAAAGGAAAACTATGGGCTATGGAGCATCATTTAGCAACATAAAGTGCTGCAAGGAGTTTGTAGGACATTTGACATGTCAACTAAACAGTGCTGGGCTCTTTCATCCCCATTGAAGATGAATCTTCGAATACTCTTTTATTCGTTGACTGCGTAAAATTGCAACATTTCTGCCTCCACGGGGTGAGTTTCGCCAACAATGACAAGGCAATGCAGTGGATCTCCAAAATCAACAGTTTGCAGTTTCTTCATTGTACCCGCAACAATAATTTGATCCTCACTTCCTAACCGGGCAAAACCCACACAAAGAGTGTCTTCAGTGTAAGCTGCAATCCACATGAAATACACTCAATCGCAGGTCATCAAAGTAGTAAAATTACATATTAACAAAATAAAATGTTCCAGTTAAGAATAAACATAAAAAATCTGAAGCACAACAAAGGGATAGATAAACGTGTGAAGAGAAACAACCTACCTGATTGACCACACTTCTGCTCAACCTCAAGGAGCTGTTCTATTGCAGTTCCAATGGACATGAACCTTGGTGGTTCATAAATCTTTTTTCCCCTGAAAGTAGTTGTAAGTACTGGCATGTTATAATGCAAGTTTAAGAAAGCAACAAATAAAAAGACAAGATTACATTCAGTTGAAACCAGATGTTAACCTGCAGAGAGATTCCAGTGAGGGTTCCTTCACTTTTATATCTGCAATTAACAGAAGACAAATATCTCAGGCGGTGAATGCAGTAGATCCAAAGAGACGTATATATGGTCTATATATCAGGTATATATCCAAGAACATGGCCTGAAGATTATTAATCTAAAGATACAATCATGGTTAAATAGTGTCCATATATAGAACATGGACTCCGGCACAGGGAGAAGTTATGCTAAATGCCTTTATGATACTTTGTAATAATCAATCTAACCATAACAATTGACAATAAGTTTATTAGAAAGACATTAAGGGGGGCGCTGCCGGCTTAAAAAGTATGAGCCGGGGACAAGAACAAGCCTCAGCTTTAAAGGAGAAGCAAAAAAATACAAGTAATAATAATGCTTTCAAGCTACAGGGCGATCTTTTACACAAAATCAAATTAAGTTGAACAATGCTCCAAATGTGTCTGGCCCTAATAACACAAAAATTATGTCACTAAGGCTCAACATTTCAACACAAGCATTTGTGTAGGGTTCTTAACAAGTCAGCATACAAAGGAGCAACTTACATACAAAGTCTCCCAAAGACCAATGTCCAAGGGACAAATACAACAAATCGGATTTATACAGATCAGTAATCACAATGAGGAGCCACAAGTTCAATAAATCCACAGTGTTTGTGCAACTCTTTCTTGGTTCAATAGATGGTCAAGGTCCATCTATACAACTATAATAATCACTTAGCAGCCTTATTCATTCAATGCTCCCCATAACCATAGATGATCAGGCTTGTAGGACCACATACATTTTGACACGATGGACTTGATGGTTAAAGCATTTTTACTGTGATATGAGACAATTGAACAGCATTCATGACGCTAGAAGCCATTATTAACCACTCTTGTATTCTACATCACAAGCAAAACCAAAAATCCATTGCAAGCTACGGCTTTGGAGTTTGGACAACTATGTTTCTACAAATACAAGAGTGCTAGAAATGTAGAATATGGATCAACAACATATGCACTATGCATGGAGCAGATGGTCTGGTAAAAAAAAATTCATGAATAGAAACACAATTCCAATTCACAGTACATTATTCCAAAGTTCAACATATAATTCATAATTGCAATGAAGAGCAACTCCAAGGGCAAGGGAAGCTCAAGGTTGAACAATGACAAACTTAAGCGAAAGGAAAGAGTGAAAACCACACCTAACAAACACAGAGTATGCAGCCCAAGATCACGGTTTCATTTAATCTTTTCATAGAAGCTATCAGGTCTCCATGTCTCGGTAAAGAAAGGAATTGAAATTGTCTCTCCATAACGATACAATTGCAATCCACATACTCCAATTGCATTCATCACTGATGCATTGTGCACCACCTTGACCTCAACTCCAATCTCCTTTGCCCGAACAACAAGGTCCGTGTGCGTAGTTGCTCTACATTCCAAATATGATTTAGACAATAACAATAATCACAAATATACACACCCAAAAGCAAATACAACCATCACAATTACTCTAATAGATCAATGCCATTTTTCATAGTAGTAGTTAAAACAAGTAACATACACACCCAAAAGGATCCCCAACAACAAGGAAAGCAACATCAGAATCACGAGCTTGCGAAAGCATAGAATCCGCCTTTTCCTCCACCATTTCTCTATCAGCCACAATCACAGGTTTCCCATACAATTTTTCCTACAAAAACCAACTCCAAATTCCAAATTACAAATTTTAAATACTTAATGAAGGGTTTTAAGAAATACCCACAAAATTAAACTGAAATTTAAAGGGGTTATTCTTACCAAATTAGAGAGACCATCAGAAGAAATACCAAAAGAAAGGAGTGAAGTATAAGCTTCAATGTAAACATTTTCACATTTCTTGACAGCTTCTAAACCTCTCAATGTTATGTCTTTCTCATCTCCCAACCCCAATCCTATAATGTATAGCATCTTTACTTTGCTCTATTAAAAAATCTTAACACTGCAAAATCTGGAAAAATGCAGGTCGAATAATTCAGGGTTTAATTAAATATTTGAAATTTGTTCGAAAGAGTTAAGCAGGGAAGAGATTGAAAAAACCCAGTTGATTTACCTGAGAGCAGAATTCGAATTCTGGGAATTATCAATTACAAGGCTTTAGATTGAATGTGATTGCTGCTGATCTGGGTTCTAAGATTTTGCGGCTAGTAGTTTGTAAGAATAGGCCGAGCCACCGAGGAGAAACACTACTGGGAACCAAAAGTCCAAAATTAAATACGGAGTACCTCCTTAGCTTTCTCAACAAATACTATTGGAAAAATATATTTTAATAATCTCAATTATTACCGTGTTTTTTTTTTTTAATAATACTAAGGGGTCGTTTGGTTGGGAGTAATCAGGAAAGGGAATGAGAATCAACTGGCCTCATTCCCTTTGTTGATGTTTGTATAGCACTTTTAATTATTCCCATTACCCTCCCCATTACCCCAAATCCTTTCAACTCCATTCCCCACCCCCCTAGACTTTCCCATTCCTTTTCCCTACCCACCTTCACACCACCCCATCACCACCTTCACACCTACCAACACCATCGGAAAACCAGCCCGACCACCGCCGCCCCTACCCCGACCACCGCCGCCACTACCCCGACCACCGCCACCCCTCCCCCAAGCCTCGCCGCCCTCCCCTCCCACGCAAAAACCACCCCTAGCCCCGCAAAACCCCTAGCCCTGATCTCTCTCCCACCACCTGCAAAACCCTAGCCACCCCTTCCCCTCCCCTCGCCGCCCACCGATAAACGCGTGCCGCTCAAAACCCCCTCCCCTCGCCGCCCAAAAACCCCTCCCCTACCTCGAAAAACCTCCGAAAAGCCTAAGGGAGGTTTTTCGAGGGTGAGATTCGTCGTTTTGGGCCCAGCGAGTAGTGGGGGAGAGTTTGCGAAGGGCGGCGAGGGGAGGGGGAGAGCCGGCGAGGGGAGGGGGAGGGCCGGCGAGGGGTTTCATGGCTGGGAATGATGAAAACCATATGAATTGTGTGGTGGTGTGGTGGCTGTGGTGGTGTGGTGGTGGGATTGATTCCCTTGTTTTAAAAACAAACAACAAAGCAAAAAAAGGGTATTTTCATTCCATTATTCTCCTTTCCCTTTGTTCATTCCATTCCGATTCCCTCGTGCGAACCAAACGTCCCCTAAGTGTCTTTTCTCATATGTTTATTTTTAGTTCAGTTCAGCTCAATTCAGTTCAGATCCTAATTTCCATCTCTTTGTTTTTTTTACGGGTAATTTCCTTCTCTTATAAAATATTCAGTTCAGTTCAGTCTATGAGAAGAGGCCCTAACTAAAGATGGGCATCGTGCCGTGCCGTGCCGTCGCGGGCCGTGCTTGGCCGTGCCGGGGTGGGGCTCGTGCCGTGTCGTGCCGGCTTGGTGGCGGGCCGTGCCGTGCCGTGCCGTGCCATGTTTTGGCACACCCTAGCCCACGGCCCACGTGCTTGGCGGGCCGTGCCACGGGCCACCACGGTTTTTAAATTTTTTTTTATTTTTAAAAATATATATATTATACAAAATCGATATATATATTATAAAATTAACGTACCGACGGGTCGTGTCGGCGGCCGTGCCGGCGTCCGACGATCGTGCCCGTGTCGTGCCAAATTTCAAGATTTGTGTTCACGGCACGGCCCACGACCCACAAGTGGGCCGCCGTGCCGTGCCGTGCTAGTGGCCGTGTCGTGTCGGGCCGTGCCGGGCTCGTGCCGCCCGCGTGTCGGCACGGCCCATGCCCACCTTTAGCCCTAACTATACTATAACTTTGCCAAATCTCCAATAGACCCAACCGGTCAACATCAAGCTGTAATAGGTAACCAATACATGTGTCAGCTTGTGATTGATCTATAAATAAAAAAAATACTCCCTTCATTTTTAAATACTTGCTCCATTTCTCCATGCACGGAGTTTTAGGAAAAATTGGAGAAAATAATAAAATATAGAGGTAGTTGTTACAAAATAATAATGTATGCCCATTATAGCTTGTAATTATCTCTTTTATGACTACCTTAAGTATGGTTTTAATAGCATCCTTGTAACTCTCCTTTGTCATTAGTCCACATTAACCCTCTCATGAATGGACTTTTCATTGTCCATATATGTTACAATGTTCACATCTTGTATATATATAGATGGTCATGAAATGGATGAAGATATAGACAATACAATTACCATCTACATACATCTCTCTCTAATCTTCTCCCTTTTCCCCTTATTTCATAATAGTAGTAGACTAGTAGGGTAGGTAGAAGAATAAAAAATTGTAAAAACAAAAAGTAGTAAAATTAAAAAAGAGAGAACATGAAATTAATAAAATATGATTAAAGGTGGGTACACTAAGCGAGAGAAATTAATTAAATATTGTTAAAAAGAATTCTAAATTAGGAAATGGAGCAAATACTTCCTCCATTTCTTTTTAGTTGACACGTTTCTTTAGTCACGTTTGCCAAGGCACTTATTCAATCATTGATATCTTTAATTATCGATAAGTAATAATTATGAATAGTTGATACTTTGAAATTGTATAAAGTGACGAATCTAACAAAATCCCACATGAATATATTTTTCATTACGTATAAAGCACAAAACACGGTCAAAGGAAGGTGTGTGAATAGTCTAAAGTCAATACGTGTCAACTAAATAAAAACGGAGGTAGTATTTAAAAACGGCCGGAAAAAGAAAGTAGAGCAAGTATTTAAAAATGGAGGGAGTAAAAAAAAAAAAAAACCTAACAGCCACCACCTCATCCCTTCCAACCACAGCAAAACGCCACAACCAACCCCAATCTCGTCGGAAACAACCGGTCGTCCCATCCCAACCCCAAAAACACCCTAACCGGCCTAAACCCACCCCCAAACCACCCATCCTTCCTCGAAAACAACATCAACCACCGTTATGGGGCCAACCAAAGCAGCGGCAGCCACCGCAATGGGGCAACTAAAGCAGTAGCCGCCACTGCAATGGCGCAACCATAGCAGCGGCAGCCACCAGCGATTCCGGCGCGAGCTGCAACCCCTGCTAATGATTTCATTGTGTTTGCAATTGAAACCCCAATTCGCAACAATTTCAACCTCAATTCGCACTAATTTGCACAGCAACCATCGTAAATTAAAACCCAGATTTGTTCCGGCCATTTTCGGAGGGCTAGGGAGGTGGCCGGCGGTTTTTGGTTGGCTGTGGGTGACTGAAATTTTCACTATGAGGGTTGACTGGGATAGAGTTCTTTTTTTAAAAATAATTTTTTTTTATACTATTAGGCCAATCATGTGCTGACATGTGGCATTTAAAAAAAAAGTATACTATTTCAACAGGTAATCGATTTTTAGGTCTATTGGAGGCAAAGTTAGGTCATTCAGGTCATTGTTAGGATTATTAAAAAATAAATCTTAGTTGGGATTATTAGAAGTAACTCGGCAATAGTTGGGAGTATTAAAAGTAAATCGGCAACAGTTGGGATTATTAAAAGTAAATCGGCAACAGTTGGGATTATTACAGTGTATTTTTTCCCAAATAATTTTTGTTCAACATAAATTATTTTTATGGTATACTCTCTCTGTTTTTAAATACATCTTTTTTCAGTTTCGCTCGTTTTTAAATACTTGCTTCATTTTCTTATTTGGAAACCTTTTACAATATTTAATTCATTTATCTCAACCAGTGGATCCAACATAAATTATACTCCCTCCGTCCCATAGTATAGTTCATGATTTCCTATTTTGGAGCTCCATAATGTTGTTCTTGTTTTTATTTTTGGATAGTGTGTAAAGACCATTATACTATACCCTCACTTTTTAAACTTTATTCATTGCATTTTCTAATTTACCCTTGAATTTTGCATATGTGTAGACACCCATTTGTGTCTCCCCAAAAACCAAACCCAGTGATGAGTACCTTTCACGTCGAATCATAATCGAATGAAGCGAAAGTGTGGAAAGTCTAGTGTTGCGGATAATTTTAATTTCTTTTCTCTTCTCTCTGTTTTTGAAAACTTATTTTAAGAAAACAGCCAATCCAGTTTGGTTGGTCCATGATATGGGTCCAATAATAGTGTAGTTGGGTGGGGCTTGACAAGAGCTTTCCAACGATATATTATAAGCCCAATTCCGATGAATATTGAGGAAGTTATGGCCAATTTACTAAACTGGGCCTGGTTTGAGCCTTATATGCGGCCCAATGATCTAGGGGAGGGCCTAATATGATTTGTCATTCCTAATGCAATTAGGAATGGTTTTAGTCTTCTAGATTCTTCTAGAAGGTTCTTTTCATTCCTAATTCAATTAGCATTGATAAATTGACTTTTGTTGACTTTTCAGAGTTTTAATTAAAATCAAAGAGCATTTTTGAGGAAAATACGATTTTATCCTCTTTTATGGTAATTTTTATCTGATTTTAGAAAACGCGTGAATTTCTGAAATCAGCGCCAAACGCCAGCTGTAGCGCCTGGCGCCTAGCGCTAGTGTTGGCGCCAACAGCTAGCGTTGGCGCTGATTCAGTTTTTTGTGCGCCAATGCTCTGTTTTGATAATTTTATCTTTTTGGCTGATTTTCTCTCTAAATAACGTCGTAAAAACTCCGTTTTCATTCACCTACAACCAGTTTTCATCAACAATCTACCAATTCTCTCTATTTTTCATTCACCAACTCTCATCAATACTCTCTCTCTCTCTCTCTTTTTCTAAACTAGCTTCTTAATACAAAATTCCGCATTCATTAGATCTAGAAACACCTAGCCATATTCGAAGTTGTCTTTGCCCTAGACGTGAAAGGTTTAATTTCTGAGGGTTTGGTCTCAAATCTCTATTTCAATTATTTAATTTAATTGTGTTTGTTTATAATTTTCCTTGAAGTTACTAACGCGTGTATTTTGTTATTAGAAAGAGGTACGAGACATCAAAGTAAGTACTTTAATGGTTTTTATTGATGTTATGATATAGAGTTCATGCTTAGGTTGTTATTTTGATTCCTAGTATCATGTCTAGGGTAATTTTAATATCAAGTATGATTAAAAGTATGATGTCTTCTATGTTTTTCCTAATATTTATGATTGTTAGTATCATGTTAGGGTTAAAGCTTTGATTTTTATTGTTTAGTGACATGTTAGGGTTTGTTATTAATCTTGTTAGTATCATGCCTAGGATCTTGCTATTATTATGCTTTAACATGATTTATGATTATTAATTATGGTCATGATTATTTTAATTATTATTATTATTATTATTATTATTATTGATTATTGTTATGTTGCTTGATATTTATTGTTTGATCACACCTTTTATACATGTTTAAAGGGAATTGATACTTGTAATCACGCTTAATAAGATAATTAATAATCTTGTTAGAGTTAATGTAATTATAATTCAAGTGATCGCCAATAATAGTTTTATTTGTGCATTAATATTCAACCAACATAGATAAACAGGTTTAGGGTTAATCCTATTGATTGCATGTTAGTCAGAAAGCGCACATGAATACGATCAGAATAAAGTAGAAGCTTATTATTAGGGCAGGTTCAATCTCTTTTAGGTTGGATTTGTACCTTCATCCCCGAACCATTATTTGGTTCAAGACATTATGGAGTTAACGATCTCTTGGATCGTTAAGGGGTGTAACCTTCACCCTGTGAACGGTTTACAAGTTCCTAAAACTTGTTGGCGACTCTTTTGCTCTATCTTCTTCCCTTTTGGACGCCACCGTACTTTAGTGTATGATCACAGTGGGGGTTCAAGCTAGGGGATTAACGCTTGAAATTATTCCCCACAATATGTCTTGTACTTATTTCCACATTCCCTCTCTAACTTTTGTCTATGATTGTACTTTTCACTTTTATTAATGTAATTCATCCACTTTCTTTTCTTATTTCTTAAAATACCGTGAAAAAAATACAAAGGAAAATATATTATGGACAGAAGAAGTATTTCTTAAATACCGTAAAAAACACAAAAAGGAACTATATTATGGGACAGATGAAGTATTTTATTAATTTCTGATTCTCTCTCCTCCAATTCTCTCAAATACTTCTTTTTGTGTACAATTTTTCATTTTTCCACCTACTGCACTACCTCTACATTAAAACTCCGCGTATGAAAAAATTGAGCAAGTATTTAAAAACAGAGGAAATAGAAAACAAAGAAATTTGGTGGTTGAATATAATTACAAGTAAATTGTCTTATGATTAAAAAATTAATTTAAAGGTAAAATCACTAACACAATTATGGCTTTACCTTTAAAACCGCTAATGTTTTACCCTTGAAACCAGTTGTTAACAATATACCCTTTTATGTCAAAATAAGAATGATGAAATGCGTGGGGGATAACTCACGTGTTAAGACAATTAAATCTTCTCTCCCGGTTCTATGATATCGTAGATCCATTAACGCTTTCACAATATTGTACTTTTTCCGTTTATTTTATTTGCATCAATTTGACCGGCACATTTGTCGAGACGCAACTTTGACCCTTAATATCTTTCATTATCTATTAATAAAAATTGTAACAAAATTAAATTATGAAACTAAATATTATGACTAATCTTATGATATATTATACGTAGTATAATAACATTTATTTATTTATAGAGATTAAAAAATTAAGTCATCATATAAAGGATTAAGGCTAAGGGGATTTGAACTGTTGAAGAGCTTTAGCAGACCAAAGAAAATACAGAAAATGGCGGCAGCTTCACTTAGTCATTTCTTCAAACACCTTTCCTGCACAGTGCGCCTCCAATTTCCAAGACGCTCACACCGTCTTCTTCATCGTCCCTTACCTTCCCACTTCTCTGAACACACCTCTTCATCCACGAAGCTTAACCTCAATCATCAATGGCGGCCCTGTTCTTCCTCTGCTACTGCTTCTCTCTCGTCTTCTCCAACGACCTCCAAGGATTCTAGTGTGCCCCTTTATCATTCTGTCCTCATAAAATGCCGTAAAGATGTCGTTGTAAGTTGCTTTATGCATTAATTTACATTTTAGAAAGTGAGGTTCCATTAGAAGTTGAGACAACATTTGAATTTATATGGGTTTTGATTGATAAATGTTAGAAGAGAATTATTTCTGAAGAATTTAGTCCGTAATTTCACTGAAAGATTGTCACTTGGGATTTTGTTGTTAAGCTTGTTTGATATATTTATGCGTTAATTGTGGTCTTAACCGTTGGAATTGTGGTTTATTGAGTAATGAATTGGTGAATTTTGTCTGAAAATCAGTCCATCTATTACCAAAGAAAGATACTTCAATGTCGAATTTTGCGCCACGGAATGATTATTTTGGGAATATGCTGCACGAATTATCTTCAGTTTGTATGATAAATTTGTGTTTTAGTATGTGTAACTGTGTATGTAATGATTGATAAGTTAAAGGATGAATTCAACATAACAATTGATTGTTATAAAATTATTTGAAAAAGGGGAATTCTCTTTTGGGAGAATGGTTTTGGGTATTGATTTTGGATTACTTAGACATGATTGGTATGGATATATACAAAGTAAAAGTATATTGAGTATTAGAATAATATTCAATTATACAAACAGAAGCTGACTTGAGGGTAACTAGTTTTGAGTGGTTTAACCATTTCTATGATGGGGTGTGTGGATTTGGCTACTGGGTGGTTTTACTTGTAGGATCCTGTTGGAGAACTATCTAGTCTCAATAGTAGAATTGTAGCAAATCGGGAACAAATTTAGTAAATTTTTACAAGTTGGATAGATGAGTGTTATGTATTAATGCAAAAGTTGCCCAGAGATGGTCGGTTATATTTTTCATAAAGTTGTTGAACCTTTTGTTGTTGATATTTAGGACTCATTTACAGAAGCTCTTATGAGCTTCGGTGCAAATTCTGTCAGTATGGATGAGCATGATGACTACGAGGACTCCAATGAGGTAAATTGAATATAAACCTTGACATGAGTAATTATTTTTCCTTATGTCTCATTCACCATGCTTTCCTTTGACTATTTTCATTGTGGTTCCACTATGAACTATGATACCCTATATACATAATGTTATTACACATTAGTCTCATAATTGATTTACGCTATTCCTTACACATTGTTTAAGTGCTGATAGCATTGTAGTGAATGGTTCCATTGAAGTATGGAAGATCTAAACTAATATTTTCAGTTGAATATTGATTACAAATTGATTTTGATAAGAGAAGGAAAACTTTAAACTTGTTAATGGCTCTGGCTCTGACTTTGACCTGAAAAACAAGACAAGAACCAAAGTCAGTTTCTAGCTTTATATTACCGTCTGATTATCTTGTTTGGAGGAAACTTCCAGATTTTATCAAGAATAAGTTTCCTTGTGGATCGTCCAGGTAAATGTTTGAATTTTTTTATTTTTTGATTTTTGATACAATCATGCGGTCATGCCTTACTCTCATATCAGTCGTATGTTGCTAAATTGATGCTCAATTAAAGGGAAGTTTTCCTCATTTGCTATAGACATGCAAGCACCCATATGATATAAAAAGCAAATGCATTGATGATGGTGAACTGGTGATGTTATCTATTCACTACTCTTACTACCCCCTTACCAGATTTACTTGGTCTGTTGCTTATATTTCCAATTCTAAGATACACTTTGCTATGGATGTCACTCAAAGATGACGGGATGTTGAAATTTCCGATTTGATGCCTTGCTACAAACTTCCATGCAGGTCAGCATTTGTTCAATATTCAGTGGATGTGGAGATGTGACTTCATCCATATCATATGCTGCTGATTCCATTGGCATAGAAATGCCAGACTTTGAACTCCTAAAATATGATCCCTATGACTGGATAAAAAGAACTCAGGTTAAAATGCTCACTTCCTTGTCCACTGCATTTAAAATTTTTATATTCCGCTGTTCCTATCGTATCATGTTTTCATTTTGTCAGAAATTATTTATGTACTCTTTTATTAATTATTATGACAGTGAATTTGACAGTGAGATCTCAATGGTAATACCATACTGCACCACATTATTTTCCCAGTGCATCAAGATTCTAATGGTTATACAGCTTATACCTATACAATGTTATACTTCGTATCAGTTGTTGACTTTCTGTTTAGTGTTTGTCCTGCTAATTCAGACATTTGTTATTATTCAAAGTAATGTCAATTTCTTTGTAAAAAGATCACTTGAAAGTGATGATTCTTTTAACTAAAATGGAATCCTGAATAGGCGTGAAATCAAATAGCAAGGGAATTAGACATGGCATTCCTAGAAACATCTTTTTGGTAAAAGATTGTTAAATCAAATGTATCAATTCGCGTGGAAATGAGAAATGCATATAGTCTTTGAACTAGATTCTGACAATATTCATTTCAGAAAAGAAAAACTTCTCCCTAAAAATATTTGAAGCGCCTAGAATCCATCCAGGATTTTGAATGCTACAGCCTGCATGTCTGCATATGTGAAATATGATTAGTAGATTGACCTGAGAGAAGTGCTAAATGCTGTTTTGCTGATTTATTTGATTTTTCCTTTCCTTTGTGAATAGTTTTTCTTAGTTCCTGATGTAGATCTTCATAACGTTTTATGCAGGAATCATTTGATCCATTGGAAATAACCAAGGGCCTCTGGATTGTGCCCGAGTGGAAAACTGCTCCAGTATGTTCATTGTTGTCTTTGTTTTCTTATTGGAAATAATCAGCTGTTTGCTTGGTTTTTAAAATTAAAGTGGCCTTGTTTTTGTAATCAGATGGTCAATTACTAAAGGCTTCTCTGCCTTTCTCAAAATAAACAAATAAAATAGTTGTCACTTGTCATCTGCCAGCTTTTCTTCCCACATATATTCTATATAGATAAATTTAGAAGCTTATAAGGATATAGTGCTTAGTTCTGCTGTCATTCATCTTTATTGGAAGTTATCTTCCTTGATGCAGGATGCCCGAGCAACAAATATAATTGTGAATCCTGGTTTAGCTTTTGGAACTGGAGAGCATGCTACAACCAAGATGTGTCTACTGTTGCTACACCAAACTATAAAAGGAGGTGAACACTTCCTGGACTACGGCACAGGGTCTGGAATTCTCTCCATTGCGGCACTGAAGGTATAAAGCATCGACTCAAAAGAAAAAATTTATTGTTTGAAACCCGTTTGTATAGGACCTCTATCTTCATTCTGTAAAAAGATATACTCCATTTCAATATAATTGAGCCGTATTCCTTTATTAAAAATGTTACTCACTCCGTGTTTTTTTAGGTGTTACACTTGATTAGGGGATTTTGCTCCCACCAATCGGAATGCGCCACGTGGGCCAATCAGGTCCTGCCAAGTGTCCCCCAGTTGGAACTGTCAGGGCTTGCCACGTGGCACACGCTTATTCGTCCACCTTGGACCTATTATGTCATGACACGTGGCATACTCCATGCCTAATGGAGAAACCGGCCACCCAGGCCCAACTTCCGAGGGAAGCCCAATCAGCCCTAGGTTAACCTAAACCTAGGATTGGCACGTTTCCCAAGGTTATAAATACCTCCCTTAATCCTCATTAAGAGAAAACACGCTAAAAACGCAGATTACACACATTAAACACTCTCACCTAGAGAGACCCAATCACTTTAATTTCCGCATTAATTACTCCTTAAACAAGTACTAACTTGACCGTCAGAGGCGGATCTCCAATCATCCGGAGCATCCGTTTGTTTTGCAGGTACAGGCGTCCGGTTCCAGTCTCGGAATTGTAACTCTCCCGCAGGACATCAGAAAACCCCGAAACATCTTGGCGCCGTCTGTGGGGAGAGTACTTCTGAGATGGCATCCACGTTTGTACCGGCTTCTGAAGAGAGACGTCCCCTGGACGACCCTCTAGTTCAGTCGGACCACGATACTGAGAATGAATTTGAAGTTGAAGCTCACACAGCTTCAGACGGGACCCTAAGGGCCCGACGTACCCGTCATACCGAAAGGAGGGAACGGGAACATCTTCAAACTGGAAGCGAGCCAGCAGGCGCACCGCCTGTTCGGCAGCAGCCGACTGATGGGTCTGCTCCCATCACAAGGAACGAACTCATGACCTTCATGAGGGACTTCAAGGGAGAAATTCAAGAGTTGATCAACAAGAAGCCGCCTGCTCTGGACAAGGAGCAGTCAGCTAAGAAACCCTCCACTTCACTGAAGAGGAAACCAGTTCAAGGGCGAGAGGCGACCCCTCATCCTAAATCTAGGAAGTGGGAGCCACCTGCCCTTGATTTCACAAAATTACCGTTTTCCTACTCCAGGAAATAGGAAACCTGTTCGTCATATTCAGGCGGACGGGTCGAGGAAAACATACACAGACGCTCGGCTACTGCTAGAGCAGAAGAAGAGTGACCGATTGTCAGAGTCGGCCTCTACTTCAAACTTCCAAGACAGTCTGCGAAATACCTCGATGAGGCATACTCAGTCGTATCATGAGGGTCAGTCAGGCGGCACCTCCCGTCAGTCCGGCTTTCATAGCGACCAGGCGGTACCAAACTTACCGTTTGTACCGCAACAACAGTATTTTTTACAGCCACCTCCGTTTGGTGGACATGCAGCAAAAAATGTCCAACCTATGGACTGGCAGCTACGGTTGCTTAGACTTGGTGAACAGCCGTCGGCCTTCTCCAAGGAAATTACTGAAGCCGCTCAGCCGGCCAAAGTGAAAAATGTATTAGTAGGCGCCTATGACGGCACTACTAACCCAGAAGACCATCTGATGACATTCACCAACTTGATGTACCTTCAAGGGTTGGATGATCCCACTTGGTGCAAGTGTTTCCCAGCGACTCTCAATGGAATCGCACAACAATGGTTCGGCAACCTGCCGACTGGTTGTGTAAATAACTTCAAGACGCTTGCTTACTTATTCACCTCCAACTTCGCCATGAACATCCCTGCGAAGAAGACGACCCTTGATTTAGGAACAATTCAGCAGGGCGAGAAGGAGGGGCTTCGTTCTTACATCAGGCGGTTAAACCTGATGAGAATACAGATTCAAGGGTTACCGGATGAAGTAGCCTATACTGACTTTTTCAGAGGTCTCAAAGACGGGTCGACCTTCAAATTTGATTTGGTCCGAAAGAGGGTGGCGACTCTTCAAGAGGCCTTGATTGAAGCGGAAGCCTATATACAGGCGACTGATCTTTGTAGTACGGTAAAACAGTCAGACGGGAAAAGGTCCGACAAAAGAGAAGGACGACAGAAACAGTCGTCAAACAAAGACGAGAAGAGAAAAGAGGTCTGGGCGGCTGATTCCTCTAAACAGCCGTCCCAAAAAAAGAAAAAAGAATTCAAACCATACTCCCCAAAGTATGCGTTTAACAAGGATAACCAATTTATCCTAAAGGAAATCAAGGGACGGATCTCAATTGAGAAGCCGGTCCCCATGAAGGGTTCTGCAAACAATCGGAACCAAGAAAAATTCTGTGATTATCATGAAGATGTTGGTCATCACACCAATGACTGCATCAGTCTCATGCGGTATCTGGACCGCCTGGCTGAGCAAGGTGATCTTGACACTTATGTCAAGAAATCTACGGGGAACACTTCCTCAAAAAAGCAGTCGACCAAAAAGAATCAACAGGCCGACAGCTCCGATACAGATGATGCAGTTGTCTACACCATTGCAGGCGGCTTCTCAGGAGGCGGCCCCACTATTAGGGGCAACAAAGACAATATCAGACGGTTAGATGTAAATTCCGTTCACCAAGAACGACCCTCCAAATATTCATTTCCTGAGATTGTCATAACTGAAGAAGATCTAGGAGGTGTAAGAGGGCCGCATGACGACCCTATCGTTATTGAATGTAAAGTGGCCAACCAGAGAGTAGGCCGAATCCTCATAGATACCGGAAGCTCCTCAGATCTCATCAGTAGCAAATGTCTGTCGAAACTAAAATATCAGACTGATTGCATACATCCGGCATCCCACCCTTTAGTAGGGTTTGGAGGAGGAGTCGTCCACCCAGTGGGACGAGTGGATTTACCCATCCGCCTGGGCGAAAAAGGGGAAGGACGACACATGGTAGTCCGGTTCCTGGTAGTAGAAGAACTCTCGGCCTACAACATGATCCTGGGACGACCAACCCTGAATAATTCCAAGGCTGTTATAATCCCATCTCTTATGTTGCTCAAGTTTGAGAGGGATAATGGAACAGTCGGGTCCCTAAGGGGAGATCAGAGGATGGCCCGAGAGTGCTATCTCTCGGATGTCAAGCCCACTGTTATGGCCACTGGGTCAAGTGGTGGAAAAACAGACCTTGACAATGTCAAGGAGAGTGCGCCTGTTCAAGAAGCAGGCGGCAAGAAGAGAAAGGCAGCCCAGACGGGGGCCGCAAGAAAAGACAGAAAATAGCAATCATTGGCAGAGGAGCGGTCGGATGAATTCCTCCCTCAGCCGGCTGGTGAGCATACGGACCTGATCTTAGACGACTCGCGTCCTGACCGAACAGTCAAAGTTGGGACGACTGCTCTGAGGCCCCTGGGTGACGACTGTTACAAACTATTGAAAGAATACAAGGACATCTTTGCATTCGAAGTCCACGAAATGCCAGGCATTAGTCCTGACCTGGCGGTACATAAACTGGTTGTGGATCCGAAAAAGAAGCCGGTAAGGCAGAAGAAGCGGAACCATGGCGAAGAAAGAAGTCAGGCGGCAGCCGCCGAAGTTAAAAAATTACTTGATGCAGGGTTCATTCGGCAATGTTACTTCCCAGACTGGGTTGCAAATGTGGTGCTTGTTAAAAAGCCGAATGGCACCTGGCGAATGTGTGTAGACTACACAGACTTAAACAAGGCGTGCCCCAAAGACAGTTACCCTCTGCCTAAAATTGATAACGTGGTCGACTCAACAGCCGGCCATGCTTTGATGAGCTTTATGGACGCCTACTCTGGTTTCCATCAAATTCCTTTATGGAAGAAAGATCAGGAGAAGACGGCCTTCGTCACTGATCAGGGGTTATACTGTTACACGGTCATGCCGTTTGGTCTTAAGAATGCCCCGGCCACTTTCCAGCGAATGATAAACACTGTGTTCTTTGATCAAATTGGGAGAAATGTCGAGGCATATATTGATGATATGATTGTCAAGTCTAAACTTCAGAAAGATCATCTGTTGGACCTCCGAGAAACTTTCGCCACACTCAGGCGGCACCATGTCATGCTCAATCCCAAGAAATGTGTCTTTGGAGTTGAGTCTGGGAAATTTCTCGGATTCCTTATCAATCAGAGAGGAATAGAGGCGAACCCTGAGAAGGTGCAGGCGGTCATTGACATGCAGTCGCCTTGTACCATCCGAGAGGTTCAGAAGTTAACAGGTTGTCTGGCGGCCTTGGGAAGATTTCTAAGCCGATCAGGCGACAAATGCCTATACTTTTTCCAAGCAATTAAGAAAAAGGCAAGGTTTGAATGGGGGCCGGATGCTGAGGCGGCCTTCCAGAAATTGAAAGTTCACTTGCATTCCTTGCCCTGGTCAGCCCTTTGCCCAAAGAAGTACTCTACATGTACCTAGCCGTCTCTGATCATGCGTTAAGCGCTGTTCTCCTTGCTGAAAGAGACGGCTGTCAGCTCCCGGTCTACTTTGTCAGTCACGTACTGAAAAATGCCGAGTTGAGGTATCCCTTAGTGGAGAAATTTGGTCTTGCACTCTTCATGGCTGTTAAAAAATTGAAGCCCTACTTTTTGGCACATGCAGTCGTCGTGTATACAGACCAACCTATCAAGCGGCCACTGACCATCATGGAGTCGTCAGGCCGAATGATCAAATGGGCTATAGAAATACAGAGCCTCGAAGTTACCTTCGAGCCTAGAAAAGCAGTGAAGGGGCAAGCCTTTGCTGACTTTATTGTTGAGATGACTCGTCCTCCTGACTCTCAAGTTCCAGACCAAGTCTGGAAGGTATATGTGGATGGAAGCTCTACTTCAAATGGTTGTGGAGCAGGCGTCATATGTCAGTCGCCAGAGGGCGACAGGTACGAGTATGCTCTACGCTTCAGTTTTCAGGCCTCAAACAATGAGGCAGAATATGAAGCTTTGCTAGCCGAAATCCGCATGTGCAAGGCGGCAGGGGCAAGAAAAATAGACGCCTGT